TTTTCGTGCTACTCCTGTGAATCACTTGTAATTCGTTTCAACCAACACCTTTCCATTAGAAACCTCTATTTGTTATCTGAGAACACACGTTATTCAGTTTCTTATGTGCATGTTCTCATGCCCTTCCCATCACTGGGGATTCCTAAACTGCCTTTTGAAATACTGCATTCATCTATGAAGAAACATCCCAAAAGCACACTCCTGTTACCCTCAGTGAGAATTAATCACTCTTACCTCTATTTAGTAATTGATATGTTCCATGTGACTAAATAGATCCTCACAAATAGTAAGTGCTTAATAAATACATGTGGATTGAAATACATGTTAATTGTTCATGCATTACACTTGTTGAGTCATCTATTCCCATCATTAGATTTAAATTGTTGGACACAAGGGTCATACCTTGTTAATTTTTCTAAATTTTTTTTATTGAAGTAAAATTCACATAACAAAAATAATCATTTTAACAATTTCAAAATGTCCAATTAAGTGGCTTTGGTACGTTCAGAGTGTTGTGCAATTATTATCTACTATCTAGTTCCAGAATATTTTTATTATCTCAAAAAGAAACCTATACTCTTTAGCTATTACCCTCCAGTTTTCTTTCCTTCTAGATACTGGTCACCACTAATCTGATTCCAGGCTTTATGTATTCAACTAATCTAGATATTTCATATAAATGAAATCATGCTATATGTGATCTTTTGTGTCTACCTTCTTTCACTTAGCATAACTTTTTCAAGTTTCATTGATGTTATAGCATATATCAGTACTTAATTCCTTTTTATGGTTGATTGACATTCTGTTATATATATATATGCCACATTTTGTGTATCGATGGACATTTGGTTTGCTTCACCTTTGGCCATTGTGTTTCTATGATCATTTGTATACAAGTTTTATTTGGATACCTGTTATTAATTCTTTGCGGTATATACCTAGTAGTGTAATGGCTGGGTCATATGATAATTTTGTGTTTAATATTTAAAGAACTTCCAAACTATTGTTTCACAGTGGATGCACCATTTTACAATCCCATTAGAAATGTACAAGTACTCCAATTTCTTCATGCCCTCAATAACACTTCTTGTTTTATTTTTTTAAAAATTCTGGCCATCCTAGTAGTTAGAAGTGGTATGTCATTGTGGTCTTTGATATTAATATTATTTCATGATATATTAACCTTTTTATAATTAATGATTTAAGCATCTTTACAGTGCTTATTCACCATTTATAAATATTTTAATTGAATTGTCTATTCAAGTTCTGTGTCCTTTTTTTGGTGTCTTCTTTTTTATTTTTTAATAGCACCGGGAAAACCTAGTCATAGTGTAAAAAATGAGATAATATGGATAAATATAAGTAGAAAATAAAAATCACATTACCTTCAATAATGATCAGCATTTGCTGTTGCTGTTAAAAAATTAACATCTTTTACAACAATTTGAATGGAATGAGAGACCATTCTCCTAAGTGATGTATCTAAAGAATGGACAAACATCACATATACTTGCTATTAAATTGGAACTAATTGATGAGCACACATGTGCACAGAGGGAAGTAAAAGTCATTGGAAATCAAGCAGAGAGGAGCGGGGAGGAGGGCATGGGTGAAAAACTACCTAACAGGTATAGTGAACACTATTTGGGTGATGTACACACTTATAGCCATGACTCAAGCATTACAAAAGTAATCCATGAAACCAAAGTCATTTGTACCCCCTCAATATTTGAAATATGAAAAAAAAAATTTTATGTTGAGGAAGTTTCCTTATATTCCAGGTATGATTGTGAAAGCATTTTTATAATGAAAGTGTATTTTTATCATGAAAGTGTGTTGAATTTTGTCAAATGATTTTTATACATCAATTGAGATGACCAAGTGGGGTTTATTCTTTGTTGTACTAATGTGATATATCATATTGATTTTATTTAATATGTTCAACCACACTCACATCCTGGGATAAATCCCACTTGGTCATAATGCATGACCATTTTAATATTCTGCTGAATTCAGGTTGCCACTTTTAATATTTGAAGATTTTTGTATATGTATTCATAGAGGATATTGATTTTTTTTATTTTAGCATAGTATGGGGGTATAAACATTAAGGTTACATACGTTGCCCTTATCTCCCCTCCCCCCTCGAGTCAGAGCTTCAAGCGTGTCCATCCCCCAGACGGTGCGCATCGCACTCACTATGTATGTTTATGCCCAACCCCTCCTCCCCCTCCCCCACCTGCCCCATACCCAACAAATGTTTGTTTTTCTTTTTTTCTTAACATTTGGTTACATTTTATAACTTGCTCTCCCTTAGCAAGGTAGAGGTATGCCCTTCCCCTCCACAATGCTCACCACATCGCTCAGATGTGGGACTACCCTCCACCCCCAAATCCTGGTGAACACCACCACCCTTTGAGCACCATAGTGTTAATCAGTCAGTACCAATTTGATGGCGAACATATGTGGAGCCCATTAGTCTGATCTTGTGTCACCTCCCTTTGGATAATGGGCTCAATCCAGGATAATATAAGCAGTGCTAGCTTGCTGTCAATTAATTCCATTGTAAACATATACCAATTTTTTTTTTTTTTTGATACAGAGTCTCGCTTTGTTGCCCAGGCTAGAGTGAGTGCCGTGGCGTCAGCCTAGCTCATAGCAACCTCAAACTCCTGGGCTCAAGCAATCCTGCTGCCTCAGCCTCCCCAGTAGCTGGACTACAGGCATGTGCCACCATGCCCGGCTAATTTTTTCTATATGTATTAGTTGGCCAATTAATTTCTTTCTATTTATAGTAGAGACGGGGTCTCGCTCTTGCTCAGGCTGGTTTCGAACTCCTGACCTCGAGCAATCTGCCTGCCTCGGCCTCCCAGAGTGCTAGGATTACAGGCGTGAGCCACTGCACCCAGCCCATATACCAAATTTTAATAATCCAGTCATAAATTGACAGACACTTGGGTTGTTTCGATGTCCTTGCATAGTGAATTGTGCTGCCATAAACATTCGGGTGCGGATCTCTTTATAATAGAATGTCTTATGCTCTTTTGGGTAGATGCCTAATAATGCTATTGGTAGGTTGAATGGTATTTCTATTTTTAGCTCTTTGAGATATCTCCAAATTTTTTTCCACAAAGGTTGCACTAATTTGCCGTCCCACCAGCAGTGTAAGTGTTCCTGTCTCTCCACATCCTCGCCAGCGTTTGTTGTTTTGGGATTTTTTGATACAGACCAATCTCACTGGGGTTAGATGATATCTCATTCTGGTTTTGATTTGCATTTCTCTAATGATTAGAGATGTTGAGCATTTTTTTATGTTTGCTGGCCATTATTCTGTCTTCTTTAGAAAAGTTTCTGTTCATTTCCGTTTCCCATTTCTTGATGGGGTTGTTCGATTTTTCTTGTTAATTCTTTTGAGCTCTAAATAGATTCTTGTTATCAGACCTTTATCGGAAGTATAGAGAGCAAATATTTTCTCCCATTCTGTAGGTTGTCTATTTGCTCTAATGATAGTATCCTTGGCTGTTTAGAAGATAACCCAACAGGCTCAAACTCCTCTAAGACATTACAGGTCCAAAGCAGATATCCCCAGATCTGCCAAGGATCGTTGCTCTGGAAAGTATATTGATTTATAGTTTTCTTTCCTTTTAATGTTTTTATGTGACTTTGGTATGAGGGTAATGCTGGCTTTAGAGAATCAATGTTGATTCCTGTTCAATTTTTTGGAAGAATTTGAGATGGATTTATGTTAGCTTTTCTTTAAATGGTTGGGAGAATTCACCCGTAAAGCCATCTGTTCTGGGATTTTCTATTTTGAGAAGTTTTTGATTCCTAATTTAATATCTTTACTTGTTATAAGTTTTTAAAGATTTTCTAGTTCTTCTTGAGTCAGTTTTTCCAATTTGTGTGTTTTTAGGAATTAGCCCATTTCATCTAGGTTATTTAATTTTCTGGCATATAATTGTTCATAGTATTCTCTTACAATCTTTTTTACTTTGTACTTCTGTAAAGCTTGTGGCAATGTCCTCACTTTCATCTGATTTGGGTAATTTGAATCTTCTCTCATTTTTTCTTCATCAAGTTAACAAATGCTTGTCAATTTCATTGATTTTTAAAATATACTCTATTAAAGGTTATATTGATTCTAATATTTTTATATTCTTTTATTTATCTCTGCTGTAATCTTTATTGTTTCCTTCCTGTGATAGTTTTGAGTTTAGCTTGATTTTTATATTTTTAGTAGCTTAAGATAAAATTGGGTTGTTTATTTTTATGAAGGTGTTTAAAAGTATAAATTCCTTCTGAGCATTGTTTTCCCTGCATCCAATAAGTTATGTAATATTGTGTTTGTTTTTAGTTTTCTCAAAATATTTAAAATTCACTTATAATTTCTTCTTTGAGTGTTATTTAATTTCTTCAGATTTGTAATTTTCCAATTTTTCTTCTATTATTAATTTGTAGCTTCATTCAATGGAGTCTTGCTATGTTGCCCAGGCTGGTCATGAACTCCTGAGGCAGGAAGATTTCCTGAGCTCAGGAATTTGAGGCTGCAGTGAGCTAGGATCATGCTGTACTCTAGCCTGGCCAACAGACTGAGACTCTGTTTTTGAAAAAAAACAAAGAAAATAAAAAAGAAAGAAAGAAAAAATAATAACTGTTAGATAATAGTCTGTTTCTCAAATGTTGTCAAATGGCTGATAGCAGTACTAGAATATTGAAATACAGCAAATTCTTCAAAACATTTTTATTACTAAAATACTTTATATTGTTTTGTGTTCATTGAAAATTAGAATATATGAGTAAAGCAAAGGGAATATGGTTTCTTTTCTCATCACCAGAAGGTAATCATTGATATTTACCAGACTTTTTCTGTAGACAATATTGCTAATTTTTTTGAGTAATTCATAAGTAGACAATGAAGTTGAGGTGCTAATTAACAGTATATTATTGTCAAATTTTCTCATTGAAGCTTGGCTTCTGTCATGACTTTTGCTTGATTCTAGGTCTCCTTAATTTTACCAGAGGAAATGTCTGTATTAATGGATATAACATCTCAAAGAACATGATGCAAGCTAGGAAAAGCATGGGCTTTTGCCCTCAGGATAACCTATTGTTTGAGACATTGTCAGTATCAGAACACCTCTATTTCTACAGTGTGGTGAGCCAGAGATATATATGTTCTCTTTCCCCACTCTTTATATATAATTGAGGCTATGTGACCAAGGATCAATATCCTCTTTATTTAGTAAAAGTTCATTTTTGAGGCTTTTTCTTAATCGAAGGGAAGAAGAAACAACTTATATCTAGATAGCTGTATAAAAAAGTGATGTAAGAATTTTCCAAGGATAAAGTTGGAAGTACCATATACACTCTGGCTTCTCTTTCTAGATAAAAGGAGTACCTCCAGAGAAACGTTCCATAGACATTAACAAAATGCTGACTGCTTTTGGCCTGCTACAAGATCAGGATGAGTTTTCCATGTATCTGAGTGGAGGAACAAAGCGCAAACTCTGTCTTAGCATAGCACTTCTAGGGGACCCCAAGGTAAACAAGAGTTAAAGTGGATCCTTGCTCCAGCTGATCTATAAAAATCAGCTGATTACAGACCTAAAAGCTGACAAGACTCTAGCTCTCTAAAAGAAATTTCCCAAATGATAGAGGGAATTCTCATTCTTGACCCAGCTGATATAATGTGGTCATGGGTTTGAAATTATTAACTTTTTGGAGTTCTTAACTCTGGTGGAGTCTAGATTCTGTATCTTAGCTTAAATTTATCCCTCATGAATAATAAGTTAGCCCATGAGTGTCACCGCATGAGTTTAAATATGGTCTTGAAAGTTTTATTCTGGTCTTTAGGTCATGATACTTGATGAGCCAACATCTGGCATGGACATAGTCTCAAGGAGAAACACCTGGGATATCCTTCAACAGTATAAAGTGGATCGCACAATCATATTGACCACGCATCACATGGATGAAGCTGAGATACTGGGTGATCGCATTGCCATCTTGGTCAAGGGGACCCTGCAGTGCTATGGCTCTCCAATTTTCCTGAAAAAAAAATATGGTCTCTCATTTTACTCATTCTTTGAATGCTGATGCCTTAATAATATTCTAAAATAATTTTCATTATTGTTTTTGTTTCTCTACACAGACCTTTAATAGCATTCTATGTCCTATTGTATCAGGTCTAAACTATTTTAGTTACTTTTATGGCTGTTTGAAATTTAAACATATCTTGTCTATTCATTTCCTTTTTACTATGACCCAGTAAATTCTTGGAAAATTCTCCTTACCAACCCCACAAAAGTCATGTTTATTTCTCCCACGTGGAAGTGTTAATTTGTCACAAAATAAACTCATGCCTCCAAAAGATGGTAGAGAGGTAGATTAATGGCTTGTATGGGAGAAAGTTAATGACCAGATATTTCTGACCTTTTTTTCTGGCTTTTGCCAAATCAATATCAAATCCCCAGTGTAATGAGTTAAATGCTTTCTTGCTTATTTTTGTAAAACATTCATGAAATGTGACAGTTAGTCAATAATAATTTAAATGGATAGTGGAATAAAAGTAAATGGATAGTGGAATAAAATAGTCTTAACATGGAAGAGTATAGAGACTGCTTAGTTAATAAGACTAATAAAAATGAACAATGTAAAATTATATATTATTCAAATCTGAAATTACATATTACAGACCAGTAAGTATATTAGGCCTTCAAAATTGGAGGATACAAATCAATAAGAATAGGTAAAGATGACTTTATTCCATTCATCATTAAGTTGGTATTTGAATTCATTCATTTAACTCACATTTATTGAATATCTTCTATGAGTGATAGTCACACTTTACATACATTATCTCATCTAATCTTCATAACACCACCAGTTTATAGAGGAGAAAACTGGGGCCTGTATTAATGTAACATTCAAACCATGCATGCAGTAAGTGGCAGAAATTTGGACCTGGGTCCCTCCGACACCAAAGCCTATGTTTTCCAGTTTAATGTGCTAACTCTTCTCCTTTACCCTGCTATTCCCTCTCCCAAAGAGAATGTTGGGTTTTAATAGTAAATTTGCTAAATGTCAGAAGTGGAGGCAATAACACTGTTGGTTGCTTTTGCACTTATTGATGAGTATATAGAAACTGACATTCTTAAAGTAGGTTAATTGGGGACACAAAATTAGTACCCAAGTGTATTGATTATCCATAGAGTGCTTTCAGTTACAAAGAGAGCTTTAAAAGTCAATGGAGAAAAGAACATTTTCTTTGGAGGATGGATAAGTAAGTCCATAAAAGCATGAGGATAAAAATGGCCTTTTTTCGCCCTGGGAGGATGAAAAGGCCAACCTGGATGAGAAAGTTTTTTTGTTTTGTTTTTTTTGGAGACACAGTCTCGCTTTGTTGCCCAGCTAGAGTGAGTGCCATGGCGTCAGCCTAGCTCACAGCAACCTCAATCTCCTGGGCTCAAGCAATCCTTCTGCCTCAGCCTCCCAAGCAGCTGGGACTACAGGCATGCGCCACCATGCCTGGCTAATTTTTTCTATATATATATTAGTTGGCCAATTAATTTCTTTCTGTTTATAGTAGAGACAGGGTCTTGCTCTTGCTCAGGCTGGTTTCAAACTCCTGACCTCGAGCAATCCGCCCACCTTGGCCTCCCAGTGCTAGGATTACAGGCGTGAGCCACCACGCCCGGCCGGTTTTTAGTTTTTTTGAGGGTTGATTAGTTAAGTAGAAATGGAAGGGAATTGAAATCAGCAAGAGTGGTTTTCATTGGAGGTACACATGTGCATGTATTAATAGGATGAATTTAGAAATATGGAATTCAGAAGTGCTAATAGATGTAACAGTAATCAGTCTTAAAGTGATACATGCTAAAACAATAAGGGCAACAAGACTGGGAAAAATGGGTATGTGCACATGCACATGCACTCCTATGCACACATGCATCTGTTGTGTGTGATCCCTAAAGGATCAGAAAAACTTGGTGACAGAAGGCCATGTGGTTCATTGTCACATGAACAAAGAAAGAATTCCTAGTACAATGAGATGAAATTTGCAGTTCACATTCGTTAATATAGTAAGTTAAAAGTTTACACTTTAATTATATGTCCCTGAAATGTGGCTAACGAGTATTAACTATGTAAAGAGTTATGAAAGGGAGGAAATACAATAAGATATAAAACAATAAAATGTGAACAAGTTTGAATTCTGGTAGGAATAAAAACCTAGCACACCCCAAAGTTGAAAGAGTCAGAAACTAATTAAGAGGAATGAGTTGAAGGTAATTTGAAGATCTTTTGCTCTTAAGCACAATCATGATGCTTCTTAAAGATTAATTTTTTAAAAGAGAGCCTGTTTTTTTTATGGCAGGGGAAAGGATGAATTATGTGTTTAATTTGGGCAGATTGCATTTAAAAATTTTTTTTAATTAAAAACATCTTCATTGGGCAGGTTTGTGGCATATTTGAGTGAAGCAACCAGGGGGAATTTATACCTATGAAACCAAAACTTAGATGACCAGCTAGGCCCAAAGATAATCATTTTGGTATTCAGTGTTTACTATTACTTTCTGTGTTAATTGTATTCATTAATATTAATACCTATTAATGAAAAGGTAATACCATTTTGTATGTTATATCTCTTCTCACACATGCTAAACTTTAACTCTGCTAACTGGGATCTCCCCAGTTATTCTAACCTTGAACTTTTCCTTTCTTTAATCATTCTTTAGGCACAAAAAGCTTACTGCATTTTACTCTATGATATGTAAATTTACATGGTGTCAGAAAACATCCAGATCTCAGTGATTGCCTAGACTCTCTGCACAAAGAAGCCATTTTAAAAAATTTTAAATATTAAATAGTAAGAAAATTAAATGACTATGTCTTAATGCAAAGAATAAAGAGAAATTTTTACTTTGCACAACATTGTGTAGGCACACCAAATAGAGCATTGATTTCAATAGCTAGCAATGACAGATAAACCGCCCAACTTTGGACCTCAGTTTTTTTGTTTGCAAAATAGAATAATGATGTCTTTCTTGCTATAAGCCCGTGACTGAGACAGCGCATCTCTTGAGGCCACTTCTAATGCTTAAGATCTAAGATTTGGCTTTTTGTTTTCATAATCAGAAACAGAAAAGTGAGAGGTATTTTCTGCTGGACTTTCCAATGACTTTTTTCCAATCTGAGGAATTTTTCTATACTTGCAAAATGCAGCATAACCCTGATAGCTGCCTCACTTCATTCAGATTTTTCTCAATATCACTTTTTCAATCAGAACTTCTCTGGGCCATACCTAAAATTTTAATACCTCATCCTCATCATTTTATTTTGCCCTTTCCTTGACAACCTATTCTCTCCTTAGCACTGATACTAATGCACTCCATGTTTTGCTAATGAATTTTACTTATCTACCTCCTCCACTGGACATTTTAAAATCATGACACTTTTAGCCTTTTGGCTAACTGCTGTATCCTTAGGATCTAAAATAGTGTTTGTCTCATATTAGGTGTACAATAAATATGTATTGAATGAGTTGATGTTTACCACTGTCCTCTCAGATCCCAGACTGTAGTTTCAGGAGGAAAGGAGATTATATAACATAGGACTTTTTCTGTAGTTCTGTAAATCCGATTATATTAATATAACCTATATCATTATCATCCCTGGACTCTTAGAGCAACATTTGGAAGCCTTTGGGATGTATCTCCTTAGAGTCATAGCCAAATTGCTTGTGACAGACAATGTCTTCTTCCCTATGCACCTACAGAACCTGAACCATGGAGATGAAGTATTGTTTCGAAAGAATATTAAAAAATTCAAAAAAAATTCAGAATTGCTTCATTTGGTCTTCCAAATGGGTCTTTTCAGGTGCGGGATACCATGTTATCATGATGAAAAATCCTGATTGTGATGTTGAAAATATCACCCAACTGATTAATTATCATATACCAACTGCCACTTTGGAGAACAATGTTGGAGCTGAATTATCATTTATCCTACCCAGAGAATACACACACAGGTATGGATCCAGGGAATGGTAGATGAATGGTTTTGCCAGAAATCACTAGTTCTTTTTGAACTTTCCCCCAAGCTTGTCAAATAGTTTCTTTCTGGTTGCCAGTTCATGTAATAGAAATATACTTCCTATAGATTTCACTAATTGTACCCAGAGATATAAATTTCCCTCCTGGTGAGTAAAGTGAACATTTTTTTACCTTAAGAGAGTTTATTTTTTATGTTTTTCAACTTTTATTTTTAATTGAAAAATAATTATATATTTTTATGGGGTACAATGTAACGTTTTCATATATGTTTACATTGTGGAATGATTAAATCAATCGAATTAACAAATCCATCACCTCAAATACTTATGATATTTTAGTGGTGAAACATTTAAATTTACTCTTTCACCAATTTTGAAATATACAATGCATTATCATTTATTGGAGTCATCATTCGGTGCCATAGATCACTAAAGATTATTCTTCCCATCTAACTAAAACTTTGTGCCTTTTGATCAATTCACCCCCACTCCCACAGCTTCTGGTAAACACCATTCTACTCTCTACTTCTATGAGTTTTACTTTTTTAGATTCCATATATAAGTGAGATCATAAAGTATTTGTCTTTCTGTGCCCGTCTTATTTAACTTAGCATAATGTGCTCTAATTCCATCTATATTGTTGCAAATGATAGAATTTTCTTCCTTCTTAAGGTGACTAGTATTTCATTGTCCGTAAATATAGCACATATTCTTCATCCATTCATCTAATGATGAACATCCAGATCACTTCCTTATTTTAGCCATTGTGAATAATGCTGCAATGAACATAGATATCTATGCAGATATCTCTTCAGGCTACTGATTCCAATTCCTTTGGTTATATACCCAGAAATTGGATTGCTGGATCACATGATAATTCTATTTTTAGTTTTCTCAAGAACCTCAAGACTATTTTCCATAATGACTGTATTAATTTTTATTCCCACCAACAGTGCGCAAGGATTCCCTTTGCTCCACACCATCACCAATGCTTTTTTTTTTTTTGAGTAATAGCCATTATAACAGATGTGAGGCGATATCTCATTATAGTTTTAATTTGCATTTCCCTGATTATTAGTGATAACGAACATTCTTTTTATGTATCTGTTGACCATTCGTAAGTTCTTTTGAGAAGTGTCTATAGCCATACCTCGTTTTATTGTGCTCTGTTTTATTGTGCTTAATGATATTGAATATTTTACAAATTGAAAGTTTGTGGCAACCCTGCACTAAGCAAACCGTTTTTCTAACAGCATGTGCTTATATGTATGTCTGTATCACATTTCGGTAATTCTTGCAAAATTTCAAACTTTTTCCTTACTATTATATATCTTATGGTGATCTGTGATCTTTGATTTTACTATTGAAATTGTTTTTAGAGCTCATATAATTGTTATGCTCATGTAAGACAGTGAACTTAATTGGTAAATGTTATGCTTGTTTTGACTGTTCCACCAATTGGCCATTCCCCTATCTTGCTTCATCTCCTTAGGCCTCCATATTCCCTGAGGTGCAATAATATTGAAATATTGAAGTTATATACCCAACTTCTGGGTATATAACCAAAGGAATTGAAATCCGTATCCTGAAGAGATATCTGCATAGGCTAGTTAATAACCCTTCTGTAGGCTCTAAGTGTTGAAGTGAAAGGAAGAGTCTCACATCTCTCACTTTGAATCAAAAGCTGGAAGTAACTTCAGTGGAGAAGGCATGTCTAAAGCCAAGATGGGCAGAAAGCTAAGCCTCTTGCACCAAATAGTCAAGTTCATGAATGCAAAAAAAAAAAAAAAAAAAAAAGTTCTTAAAGGAAATTAAAAGTGCTATTCCAGTGAACACATAAATGATAAGAAAGTGAAACAGTCTTATTACTGATATGGAGGCAGTTTTAGTGGTCTGGGCAGAAGATCAAATCTGCCACAGCATTCACTTAAGCCAAAGCCTAACCTAGAGCAAATCCCTAACCATCTTCAATTCACTGAAAGCTGAGAGAAAAAAATAAGCTGCAGATGATAATTTTGAAGCTAGCAGAGGTTGGTTTATGAGGTTTAAGGAGAGAAGCCAGATGTCTCTTAACATAAAAAGTGCAAGGTGAAGGAGCAAGTGCTGATGTAGAAGCTGCAGCGAGTTAACCAGAAGATCTAGCTAAGGTAATTAATGAAGGTGGCTACACTTAAAAACAGATTTTTAATGTAGATGAAACAGTTTTATATTGGAAGAAGATGCCATCTTGGACTTTCCTACTAGAAAGGAGTCAAAGCCTGGCTGCAAAGCTTCAAAGGAGAGGTCTACTCTCTTGTTAGGGGATACTGTAGTTGCTGACATTAAGTTGGAGCCAATTCTTATTTACCATTTTGAAAATCCCAGGACCTTTCAGAATTATGCCAAATCTACTCTGCCTGTATGCTATTACTGAATCAAAAGCCTGGATGACAGCACATATGTTTTATAGCATGGTTTATTGAATATTATAAGCCCACTGTTGTGAACTAGTCAGAATAAAAGATTCCTTTCAAAATCAGTCACTACAAAAAAGTTTTTCATTACTATAATGAATGAATTAAAAAGCAAAAGGATCCCATAATCTTATCCACAGAGGTATTCACTTTGCAGAGTTTAGTTTTGTATTATTTAAGATCTTGCCCTGTATGTACTGAGACATACACACACACATTTGTTATTATCTTGATAAATATATCAGAATAATGTTCTGAAATTTGCCTCTCTCTCTTATCATGAGGTATAGAGGGTTGGATCCAATTTTGGCTCAAAATACAGAGAAAATTTTGATAGAGCTTTTTAAAATGGAGAGTTTCTGGCCCGCTTCTGTGGTCTCTTACAGAGAATGTAGTAAAGGTAGGTTCAAGAATTGTGTTTCTGGAGTAGATAATCTTCTAAATCTGAGATACTAAGAAATCTCAGAAAAACTATTCTTCAAAAGACTTCATCCTACAATATCACATCTGTGTAATATTACACAAAACTTCCCTGGTCATGTGAGTGTACAGTTTTCTCCCAGACCCTAACTATAATTGTTCAGCTTAATTTTATGCTTTGAGTGTCTTCTGTTTCTTATTAACTCAAAGAATTTTCCTATTTTATTTACTTTTCATAGGAACCAGGCATTTATTGTATAAATTAATTCTTTTTTTTCTTTTTTCTTTTTTTATTTATTTCGACATATTATGCGGGGACAGAAGGAAGAAACCTATCATCTTGCAAAGTGAGAGTTGTTTCATTGCCCCACTTGCATGCCCTTAATGAACAGTCTCATCTCTGAACTGTCCATCTATTGCTCTCAAAATTAATTGCTATTCACATACCAGACATCCCGAAATGGGATCAGCCTTCCGATCCTGTTGGAGCACCATCGACCAAAGAGATAGTGGGCATCTTGTCTAAGTTTCCAGTTTGAAGTGGGATATCGGATTCTCAATTTCTCCATTCAGTTATATGGCGTGAGTCTTCGTATATATGGAGTTTGATATTTTAAGCACACTCCATGACAAGAATCGGGTGACCAGAACTTTCTACAAGAGACCAGAATAACGATGCACAACATATAAAAAAAAATGCTCTACATCATTAGAGAAAATGCATAATCAAACCACAATGAGATACCACCTAACCAAAGTGAGAATGGTCCATATCAAGAATTCCC